CTATTTTTCTGCATGTAAAGGATGTTCTCGTACCCCTATGAGTCGACTCATCCATTCTCTCCACCCAATGAACGGCACACATTTGAACCCGCCATGGCTTCCCTCGTGTTTATTCATTGCAAAGCAGGAAAGAAAAGTCGTTAACAACACCCACGTATCAGAAATCCATACAGGCGTGCGCATATCGTACACACTAGAGAAAGGGTAGAAGCACTATCGACAACACTCAACGTCGACACGTCATGCCGTGCTGAATAACCACACGATATGTACTGTTGTTAAATACGCCACATGCCACGTGAACCCCGAAAAAGATGGCGGAAACAAACGTTGTCACTCTCACGTCTCCGGATATGTACACGTCTTGCGCCAAATATAGCTGGCAAAAGCAACGACAACCGCTTGCGTTACGGTTGGTGTTGCCGAGTCGTTTACGATGTTTTATCCGCCAAATTGACAAAACATCCGCCTTTATTGAAAAATGGGAGAACGCAAAATAAACTGAATGCGTTTGAGGGCATCTTTTTTTTTGATAAAAAGAATGCACTTTCCCTCTTTATTTCGAGCAAGGGGCGGCCCCCATTTCCGTTGAAGTTTCACTAGTATTATCTTTCTTTTGCCGGTAATTTAACCGCATCCACTAGTTAATGGAATGCATGGTGTTTTTTTTTTTGCGGGAATGGAATGCATGGTGTTCCAGTTAAAAAACCCATGCAATTATTTTCAAAAAAAAAACCCATGCAATTGTCTATGATAAATTAAAAAAACCATCTAATTGTCTGGATCCATTTTCGCGTGTGAGGCAGCCTCTCATTTCGGACGGCCCAGCTCGCTTCTCGCCGGCGTACGCTACATGTCGGCACTCCACGCAAACGAAAACAAGCCCAACCGAAAACGCACGCGCCTTTCCGGGGTCACCACGGAAGAAAAATACCACGCGCCGCTCACGAGCAAACCGTGACAGCCAGCCAGATGCCCAGATATGGCCGTGCAGACACGGGCCGCACACAGCCACTGAAAACCGCAGCTGCTCTTCCGTCCGCCCGTCCCTCCGCCCGTCCGCGCCACTCCACTCGCCTTGCCCCACTCCCACTCCTCTCTCTCTCTCTCCCGCGCCCCGCTCATCACCACCTCGGCCTCGGCGAGGCAGCGCAGGCAAACCCCCCGATCCGCTTTCGCAGGCAGCGCACTAAAACCCCGGGGAGCGCGCCCCGCGGCAGCAGCAGCACCGCAGTGGGAGAGAGAGGCTTCGCCCCGGCCCGCACCGAGCGCGCGGGGCGATCCACCGTCCGCCCGTCCGCACCTCCTCCTCTGCTCCGCGGGCCCGCACCCATGGCGGCGACGGGCGTCGGCGCCGGGTGCCTCGCCCCCAGCGTCCGCCTGCGCGCCGATCCGGCGACGGCGGCCCGAGCGTCCGCCTGCGTCGTCCGCGCGCGGCTCCGGCGCGTCGCGCGGGGCCGCTACGTCGCCGAGCTCAGCAGGGAGGGCCCCGCGGCGCGCCCCGCGCAGCAGCAGCAGCTGGCCCCGCCGCTCGTGCCAGGCTTCCTCGCGCCGCCGCCGCCCGCGCCCGCCCAGTCGCCGGCCCCGACGCAGCCGCCCCTGCCGGACGCCGGCGTGGGGGAACTCGCGCCCGACCTCCTGCTCGAAGGTACCGCGGTTCAATCGATTTCTTCGTGACGGATGTTCAGTCCATTCAGTTGTATATATTTGATACTACGTCCGTTGTTCATCAGCCGTACAGATTTACCAGCATACTAGATAGAAATCGAGACCGACGCGGGCAGATCAATAGATTTTTCTAGACGTTTTATTGGATCGTGAGATGATTGATTGGGGTGGCGTGTCGATACGATAGCGGTGCACCGCCGATGTATCGGGGCCTGTGCACGTGGTTGGGTCTCAGCAGACATATCACTCGACTGACCGGAGGGAGTACTACTAGAAAGAAGACTGAAAAGGCTAGGCCAAGTGCACGCATGTTGGGAACGTAGTTAAATTGAGGAGTTTGTCTTTTGCTTGGCCTGGTATTATTACCAAAAATGGTGGAGTCCCTGTACTTAATGGGAAAATCTTAACATGACACTGGGGTTTATGAGTCTCCAATTGTATATTCTCAGCACTCAACTGATTTTACTGATAGACATACACATTTTTTTTTTGAGGGGTAGTGGACATGCACATGAGCCCCCTTCTTCAAGGAATGCAATGCTTCTTTCTGTTTTATATGACAGGAACTAGAAGAGCTTCCACCTTTGAGTACAGAAGTAGTATCGAAATTGAAGACCCTTGTATTACTGTCTTGTTTTTCAATGAAATGGGAGGCCCATGCAGTAAGTCACATGGGCGCCTGGGAGGCTGGGATCATGTGTGCTTTGCAGAGTACTAGACCCAGCTCACTCTCTGTTAGATTCTTTGTTGGGTTGCTACTTTGTGTTTGCTGTGTAGTATATTAGACATCCTGAATTTGGCATCTAGCCAAGAACAGAATGCAGGTTGCGCCAATTTTTAAAGAATGTGATCTTCTAAGTATTAATTAATCATGTTCTGCTAATGCCTGTCCTAACTCTGGTCTTGACAAATATACCATATGAATATTTTCCATTTTGCAACCAGGGATTGCTGAGGATTCCATTGACAGCATAATTGTGGCTGCAAGTGAGCAGGATTCTGAGATCATGGATGCCAAGGATCAACCTCAAGCTAAAGTTACTCGCAGCATCGTGTTTGTGACTGGGGAAGCTGCTCCTTATGCAAAGTCAGGGGGGTTGGGAGATGTTTGTGGTTCGTTACCAATTGCTCTTGCTGCTCGTGGTCACCGAGTGATGGTTGTAATGCCAAGATACTTAAATGGGTCCTCTGATAAAAACTATGCAAAGGCATTATACACTGCGAAGCACATTAAGATTCCATGCTTTGGGGGATCACATGAAGTGACCTTTTTTCATGAGTATAGAGACAACGTCGATTGGGTGGGTACACAATCACCTTCTTATTCTCTGTTAAATTCTAGCAACTGTTTATCCTTGTTTACACTTTCTTTTAGCCCTGCAAAGACATATGTGATCTCCATACTTTCTTGTTATTTCCCTTGTACTCTTGCGCATGAAGGTCAAAATATGATATACCCATGGAAGTCATGCATGTGCCTAGTATTTTTGGTGTCGGTGCCTTTAACTTTCAGGGATTAATACGTGGAATTTGATAACTAAAGTTTATTTTATTGAAAAAAATTGTAGGTTGGCTGAGCCCACAGCCATGCAGTGCCACCACTGCTTGCACATGATTTTGCATTTCTGTTTGCACCAAGCACTTCATGTGAATAAGGTGTAAAATCATAAAGTACCAATTTTATTCTGCCAATTGCTCTTAAGAGTATATACATTTATCTTGGCCTCAATCATGGGAGTACTGTGCATTCAGTGCACCATCATTGTTCTAAGGAGAAAATGTGGGTGCAAGGAAGACACTTTTGTCCCTTAATAAAAGGCAGGCACTCTGTTGTCATATAGATAGAAAGCAACAAACTTATTTCAAAGAGCTAACAATGGCAAAAGAACCAAAAAAAGCATGCTAAGGCGGCGACACCAAAAGGTGAGGGGGGCCTTGTGACTGACAGCACCCCAAACTATTGCCATTGTTTTACTAAATGAAGATCATTTTAGAAGCTCTCAGGAACTTCGGAAACAGTGGCTTTCCGCCCACAGATCGTCTGTTGATATTTTTGTCCACTGATACTTTTTTTGCTCCTTACAAGAGTGCCTATGTTGACATAGATGTTAAGTTGTTCATAAGTTTACTTCTTATTCTAAACAGCAAGTGCCTAATGCTTGCATTTATTTTGGCTATTTATTTTTATTCTCATTTCAATCAACACTTTTGTTCAGGTGTTTGTCGATCATCCGTCATATCACAGACCAGGAAGTTTATATGGAGATAATTTTGGTGCTTTTGGTGATAATCAGGTACATTACACTATACTAAGCTCCTAGTTGACTAAGTCATAAGTTGTACCACCTCGCTGACCGGCTGCTCTATGTCGTGCAGTTCAGATACACACTCCTTTGCTATGCTGCATGCGAGGCCCCACTAATCCTTGAATTGGGAGGATATATTTATGGACAGAATTGCATGTTTGTTGTGAACGATTGGCATGCCAGCCTTGTGCCAGTGTACGTTGTTTGTGGATCTGAAAGTCCAATCCTTTATTCATTCTCTGCTTTGCAGTGTGCCCATGTCTACATTTCTTTTATGCTTTTTTCATGTCTGTTCTTATATTGCATATATGCTTATGGAGTCTAAAAGTTACCGGAGGGAATAACTCTTAAGGATTTCCTCAATCAATTATCTTTAGCTTTAGTTAACATTTATTGTGGCAAACATAATGTGTTTTGAGATTTACAAGTTCAGAGATTGCACTTCACCAGTTCGTAGCTAATCTGATGTTTTCCCCGAGAAAATGCCTAAAGCTTTGTGTCTTGATGCATTGATAGAAAAAGAGTTTATGTACAGTCCCAAAGAGGGGACACAAAATTACAACACCGCACCCCTGAGAACTAGGCGCTGCCGGAAGAAGCGATGCAAGCCCCACTGCCCCTGCCTTCGCTCACAGCCGGGCCTCAGCCTTGATTGTGTCAAGTAAGCTAGCAGTGCTAGACTGCGCAAGGTCGATTCGTCGAAGATGACAGTGTTGCGCTGCTTCCAAATCCACCAAACTATGAGCATGATCACTGGAGATGTACCTTTTCTCGCGGCTGAGGGGGTGGACTGGTGGTCTGCTGCTGCCAATTTTCAGATAATCTGAAAAATGCATGTTTTGATGATTTTAGTATCTTGCGGACCCTGGGTACCACCTAAGCTTTCACACAGTAATTTGCAGTTACACCTATAAAAGTAACGGTCATGATATGCATGTGTTTTGGGTAGATCATGGTGCATGCATTTTAGGAATTAGGACATGTCAGAACCACGTGAGGCTTATGGGGCAATTCATTTGTTCCATTATACGAGTCACGAATATGGTTCAGCATGTTTGGACACTACTTGTTTGGGGCAATTTGAGATGGTGAATTGTAGCTGCTTGATGTTGGCTAGGTGGATTATTTTGTACAAGTATCGATGTTAGATGCATATTTCCTTTTGCCTTGTGCTGTTTGCCATGTCGTGTTCCCCTTTTTTGTCGCCAGTGTTGCATGTTAAATTGGTTTTCATTACATAATCAACTTTGTTGCTGACATCAGTCATTTTTATTCAGCCTTCTTGCTGCAAAATATAGACCATACGGTGTTTACAGAGATTCCCGCAGCACCCTTGTTATACATAATTTAGCACATCAGGTTTGGGTCTACCACTTCTCATTATCTGTACATGGCTTTGTAAGTCAGTTCACACGTATCGTCATACTGTTCAATGTCATTAGGGTGTGGAGCCTGCAAGTACATATCCTGATCTGGGATTGCCTCCTGAATGGTATGGAGCTTTAGAATGGGTATTTCCAGAATGGGCAAGGAGGCATGCCCTTGACAAGGGTGAGGCAGTTAACTTTTTGAAAGGAGCAGTTGTGACAGCAGATCGGATTGTGACCGTCAGTCAGGTGAAATACTCATACTTCTCTTTTTTCTTTGCGGGATGTTCTTCAGTTCAATTGCCCTGTCTTTCACGCAATTAAGAAATGATTTAATCTTTTGTTTCTAGGGTTATTCATGGGAGGTCACAACTGCTGAAGGTGGACAGGGCCTCAATGAGCTCTTAAGCTCCCGAAAAAGTGTATTGAATGGTAACTATATTTGAATCCACTTATCTTCTTCTGAAACATATTTACAGAAATAGATGGATGGGTTGCAAGTATTAATTCAGTTTGCTCTTTCGGTATGCAGGAATTGTAAATGGAATTGACATTAATGATTGGAACCCCACCACAGACAAGTGTCTCCCTCATCATTATTCTGTCGATGACCTCTCTGGAAAGGTGTGTGGATAGTACCCTATATAATAACATGTATATGTGATCTAGCACTTTCTTTTTCTTTGCTAGTTTGCCTCCCATGATGTTCTCACTAACTAATCCTATGTGGTTTGGCATACTTGTCAGGCCAAATGTAAAGCTGAATTGCAGAAGGAGTTGGGTTTACCTGTAAGGGAGGATGTTCCTCTGGTTAGATACCAACCCCTAAGATATATATTTTTTAAATCCCTAAAAAAAACTTGCCGATCATCTCATTAGCTTGATTCACAGATTGGCTTTATTGGAAGACTGGATTACCAGAAAGGCATTGATCTCATTAAAATGGCCATTCCAGAGCTCATGAGGGAGGACGTGCAATTTGTAAGTTCATATTCTTTTTCTTGAGACTAGAGTATTAAATCAAACATCAGTAATATGCTACTGCAAGTTTTGAAACAAAGTTGGAGGCAATAAATATATGTGTAGCACTGACCATGCAGTGCCACTATAGCTGGAGTGTCCTGTAGTCTATGTGATCTAACACACTCAACAACATGTTTTCGCATACAAACACATGCGTGCGCGCAACAAACATACTCTACAATAAAATTGGCTTGGTGAACTGCAGACATGCTCTTATATCCATTCCAACATTTCTTGTTTCATCATTGGCTGAAGACTAAGAGAAAGGGGACCCAGGGTGATTTTAGCAGTTTGTAGCCAACAGATCCAGTAAGGAAGCTAGCCGAGCCTAGGAGAATTCGCTTAGGTAGCTGGAATGTAGGGTCCCTGACAGGGAAGCTTCGGGAGCTAGTCGATGCAGCGGTGAGGAGAGGTGTTGATATCCTTTGCGTCCAAGAAACCAAATGGAGGGGACAGAAGGCGAAGGAGGTGGAGGATACCGGCTTCAAGCTGTGGTACACGGGGACGGCTGCAAAATGCAAACAGAAAGGGCGTAGGCATTTTGATCAACAAGAGCCTTAATTATGGAGTGGTAGACGTCAAGAGACGTGGGGACCGGATTATCCTGGTCAAGCTGGTGGTTGGGGACTTAGTTCTCAATGTTATCAGCGCGTATGCCCCGCAAGTAGGCCACAATGAGAACACCAAGAGGGAGTTCTGGGAAGGCATGGAAGACATGGTTAGGAGTGTACCGATTGGCGAGAAGCTCTTCATAGGAGGAGACCTCAATGGCCACGTGGGTACATCTAACATAGGTTTTGAAGGGGCACATGGGGGCTTTGGCTATGGCATCAAGAATCAAGAAGATGTCTTAAGCTTTGCTCTAGCCTACGACATGATTGTAGCTAAGACGCTCTTTAGAAAGAGAGAATCACATCTGGTGACTTTTAGTAGTGGCCAACACTCTAGCCAGATCGATTTCATCCTCTCGAGAAGAGAAGATAGGCGTGCGCGCCTGGACTGTAAGGTGATACCTGGAGAGAGTGGTGTACCCCAGCATAAGCTGGTGGTTGCTGACTTCCGCTTTCCGATTCTTGTCCAGCAGGATAAGCGTGCCAAAGTCGCTACAATGAAGTGGTGGAAGCTCAAGGGGGAGGTAGCTCAGGCGTTCAAGGAGAGGGTCATTAGGGAGGGCCCTTGGGAGGAAGGAGGGGACGCGGACAATGTGTGGATGAAGATGGCGACTTGCATTCGTAAGGTGGCCTCGGAGGAGTTTGGAGTGTCCAGGGGACGGAGAAGAGAAGATAAGGATACCTGGTGGTGGAATGATGATGTCCAGAAGGCGATTAAAGAGAAGAAAGATTGCTTTAGACGCCTATACCGGGATAGGAGTGCAGTCAACATAGAGAAGTACAAGATGGCGAAGAAGGCCGCAAAGCGAGCTGTCAGTGAAGCAAGGGGTCGGGCATATGAGGACCTCGACCAACGGTTAGGCACGAAGGAAGGCGAAAGGGACTTCTATAAGATGGCCAAGATCCGAGATAGGAAGACGAGGATATTGGCCAAGTCAAATGCATCAAGGACGGAGCAGACCAACTGTTGGTGAAGGACGAGGAGATTAAGCATAGATGGCGGGAGTACTTCGACAAGCTGTTCAATGGGGAGGATGAGACTCCTACCATTAAACTGGACGACTCCTTTGGTGAGACCAGCATGTGTTTTGTGTGGCGAATCCAGGTGTCTGAGGTCAAGGAGGCTTTAAAAAGGATGAAAGGAGGCAAGGCGATGGGCCCTGATTGTATCCCCATTGAGGTGTGGAAAGGCCTCGAGGACATAGCGATAGTATGGCTAACCAAGCTTTTGAACCTCATTTTTCGGGCAAACAAGATGCCAGAAGAATGGAGACGAAGTATATTAGTACCAATCATCCAAAACAAGGGGGATGTCAGAGTTGTACTAATTACCGTGGAATTAAGCTGATGAGCCATACAATGAAGCTATGGGAGAGTCATTGAGCACCGCTTAAGAAGAATGACAAGCGTGACCAAAAATCAGTTTGGTTTCATGCCTGGGAGGTCAACCATGGAAGCCATTTTCTTGGTACGACAACTTATGGAGAGATACAGGGAGCAAAAGAAGGACTTGCATATGGTGTTCATTGACTTGGAGAAGGACTATGATAAGATACCGCGGAATGTCATGTGGTGGGCCTTGGAGAAACACAAAGTCCCAGCAAAGTACATTACCCTCATCAAGGACATGTACGATAATGTTGTGACAAGTGTTCGAACAAGTGATGTCGACCCTGATGACTTCCCGATTAAGATAGGACTGCATCAGGGGTCAGCTTTGAGTCCTTATCTTTTTGCCTTGGTGATGGATGAGGTCACAAGGGATATACAAGGAGATATCCCATGGTGTATGCTCTTTGCGGATGATGTGGTGCTAGTTGACGATAGTCGGACGGGGGTAAATAAGAAGTTAGAGTTATGGAGACAAACCTTGGAATCAAAAGGGTTTAGGCTTAGTAGAACTAAAACCGAGTACATGATGTGCGGTTTTAGTACTACTATGTGTGAGGAGGAGGTTAGCCTTGATGGGCAGGTAGTACCCCAGAAGGACACCTTTCGATATTTGGGGTCAATGCTGCAGGAGGATGGGGGTATTGATGAAGATGTGAACCATCGAATCAAAGTCGGACGGATGAAGTGGCGCCAAGCTTCTGGCATTCTTTGTGACAAGAGAGGGCCACAAAAGCTAAAAGGCAAGTTCTACATGACGACGGTTCGACCCGCAATGTTGTATGACGTTGAGTGTTGGCCGACTAAAAGGTGACATGTTAACAGTTAGGTGTGGCGGAGATGCGTATGTTGAGATGGATGTGTGGCCACACGAGGAAGGATCGAGTCCGGAATGATGATATATGAGATAAGAGTTGGGGTAGCACCAATTGAAGAGAAGCTTGTCCAACATCGTCTGAGATGGTTTGGGCATATTCAGCGCAGGCCTCCGAAAGCTCCAGTGCATAGCGGACGGCTTAAGTGTGCGGAGAATGTCAAGAGAGGGCGGGGTAGACCGAATTTGACATGGGAGGAGTCCGTTAAGAGAGACCTGAAGGATTGGAGTATTACGAAAGAACTAGCTATGGACAGGGGTGTGTGGAAGCTTGCTATCCATGTGCCAGAGCCATGAGCTGGTCACAAGATCTTATGGGTTTCACCTCTAGCCTACCCCAACTTGTTTGGGACTAAAGGCTTTGTTGTTGTTGTTGTTGTTGTAGCCAACTAGATCCAGTTGATCAGTGGTATCTTTTTACCCTTTTACAGGTCATGCTTGGATCTGGGGATCCAATTTTTGAAGGCTGGATGAGATCTACCGAGTCGAGTTACAAGGATAAATTCCGTGGATGGGTTGGATTTAGTGTTCCAGTTTCCCACAGAATAACTGCAGGGTATGCCGAGAACTTAACAAGACCTTCGTTATCAGCTTGGATATATTATAATGTTCAAAACATTTATGTCTCTCTTTTTGTGCAGTTGCGATATATTGTTAATGCCATCGAGATTTGAACCTTGCGGTCTTAATCAGCTATATGCTATGCAATATGGTACAGTTCCTGTAGTTCATGGAACTGGGGGCCTCCGAGTAAGACAACTGCCCTGAAAATTAACCTTATCTTGGCTCCAACGCAAATGTTCTAATTGGCTCGTGTATTCAACAGGACACAGTCGAGACCTTCAACCCTTTTGGTGCAAAAGGAGAGGAGGGTACAGGGTACGTACTGCTCAAGTTTCGCTAACTTTCAGTGTATCTTTTTGCAATGTCTTCGGGGTACATTGCGCCATAAATCAACCTGTGATGATTAACTGTTACTGTTCTGTACTTGCAGGTGGGCGTTCTCACCGCTAACCGTGGACAAGATGTTGTGGGTAAGTTTTTGCTGAGCTCTTGTCCGGTTATAGGATAGATCTTGGCTGTAGCATGGTACCTTAGTGCCCCTTTGTGACGATAACTCATACCATGGTTTGGTTCTCCGATGGGGGCCAGAATGGCGTCTAGTGTCTGCGATCTGTGTAACTAACTAGACAATGCCGGGTTGTTCCAAGTGAAAATTTACCTTTTGACCATTGTGCAGGCATTGCGAACCGCGATGTCGACATTCAGGGAGCACAAGCCGTCCTGGGAGGGGCTCATGAAGCGAGGCATGACGAAAGACCATACGTGGGACCATGCCGCCGAGCAGTACGAGCAGATCTTCGAGTGGGCCTTCGTGGACCAACCCTACGTCATGTAGACGGGGACTGGGGAGGTCCAAGTGCGAGTCTCCTTGAGCTCTGAAGACATCCTCTTCATCCTTCCGCGGCCCGGAAGGATACCCCTGTACATTGCGTTGTCCTGCTACAGTAGAGTCGCAATGCGCCTGCTTGCTTTGGTTCGCCGGTTCGAGAACATATGACGGCTGTGCTGCTGCGGCGGTGACAGCTTCGGGTGGACGACAGTTACAGTTTGGGGGAATAAGGAAGGGATGTGCTGCAGGATGGTTAACAGCAAAGCACCACTCAGATGGCAGCCTCTCTGTCCGTGTTACAGCTGAAATCAGAAACCAACTGGTGACTCTTTAGCCTTAGTGATTGTGAAGTTTGTTGCCTTCTGTGTATGTTGTCTTGTCCTTAGCTGACAAATATTTGACCTGTTGGAGAATTTTATCTTTGCTGCTGTTTTTTTTTAATCAAAAGAGGGGGTTTCCTCCGATTTCATTAACGAAACCACCAAAATAACAGCATCCAGCGCAGGTCTCGGGTTCAGATCTACTTATAAACTACTAAATCTAACAGCAGCTAAAAAGCTTAAAGATTCAGGCGGCATAACTGAACATAATCCACAAACGAAGGGACAAAGCCTGACAGTAAACATAAGAACCAGATCCTAAAACAAACGCAGCAGACACACAAAGCACATGTCGCTGAAGAGGCTAGTGCACCCCTGGTTATCTAGTCTCTGCACCCCTGGTCTCCACCCGCCACTGTTTTTCCTTCAGTTATCTAGTCTCTGTACCCCTGGTCTCCACACCTGTGACGCTCGATATATTTCACTTGCTACCCGCTCGATTACTCTTGCCCCCAACATAAGTAGCATTTGCTCTGGGTTTTTATCTGCAAAATAGACCAATCAACGATCCAATTACACATTAGTCTTACTAGAATCATGGGATCATGAATTTGTTTTTGTTCTAAAAATAATGGGATTTCTGCATTTTCAGATGGATCAGAATATAGAAGACATTCCAGGAAGGATTAATTTTTTCTCTGTTTTCTGAAAAGTTTTCAACCATCTGTTCAGACAATCATCTAACCTACTAGGTGTTGATCTCAAATCAAATGAACATTTAATTAAGCTTCATATAAGTCTGGCGGCAGAACAACTAAAAAACAAATGATCAATAGTTTCATCATGTCCACAATAGACACATTCTTTCTTCCCTTTCCACCCTTTTATGATTAAGTTGTCTTTAGTTAGAATGCTTTTATGCACAGTCAACCAAAAGAACATTTTAATCTTGGCTAGAATTTTAATTTTCCATAGAAACTTGTGTGGGAAACCCACATCAGTTTTAATAAGGAAAAGATATGAAGATTTCACAGAGAAGTTTCTCTCATTGGTAAGCATCCACATAGGCTTTTCCTTGCCTCCATACATTCTAATATCCTTGCATCTAGATTTGAGGCTAGCCCCACAGATTTGTCCCCAAGTAAACTTCTTCTAAAAGTAAAATTATCTCATCCCATTTCAATAGCCTCTGCAACAAAGATATCATGATTAAAACTAACATTGTATAAGCTGGGATAAGCCTCTTTTAAAGGTTTGGAGCCCACCCACCAATCTTCCCAAAACCTAGTGTTTCTACCATCCACCAACTGTTTCTTAACATGTCGGTAATATAATTTTTTTCACCTACAAAAGGCTCCCCCAAAATTGAGAATCTCCAGGTTTTTTCTTAATGCCAGAGATGCATTTACCCTTCACATACTTATTAAGTAAAATATCAATCCATATTCCTTCTTCAGTTTCCAGTTTCCAAAACCATTTAGCAAATAGAGCTTTATTCATTAGTTCTAGATTTAAAATTCCCAACCCCCACCCCCCTCCCTCCCAATGTTTTTTGCATAGTTTTAAATAGCCGGCTATAGCTTCGCTATAGCCCACTATAGCCTTTTCAGCAGGGTGCCGCTAAATGGTCGCCTTTGTAAAAAACCCGCTATATCCTGCTATAGCCCGCTATAGCTGATTTGAAGGCTCGCCGCTATTTTACATAGCCCGCTATTTAAAACATTGATTTTTTGAGAGGCAGCATGTTTTCCAATTGATTAAATGATATTTCTTTTTGTCCTCATTCTCCCACCAGACTTGTCTAGCTCTGAAGAAGTCACCTTTTTTTTCCTAATGCCAACCGGCAGGGGATAGAAAGACATCATATACATTGGAATGTTAGATAAACAGGATTGGACCAAGGTCACTCTACTTGCCATGTTTAGAAGTCTCCCTTGCCAGCCAACACATTTTTTTTTCAATTTTCTCAGTAATAATCTTCCAAAATTTACTTCCTAGCCTTACATCAGAAACAGGAAACCCTAGGTATTTCAATGGAATTTTCCCAAGTTCACAAGTAAAAATTTCCTGATAAATTGTTGTTTTAGTGATGGCCTCTCCAAATAAAAATATCTCAATCTTGTGAAAGTTTATAGTCAGACTTGACATCTGTTCAAAAGCACTAAGAATGAATTTTGGCACTTTCTTCATCATCTTGTAATAAGAATATGGTACCATCTACATATTGAAGCATGTTTACACCATTATTTTCAAACTCAGGCATAACTCCTTTCACAAAACCATTTTGTTTGGCCTTGTCTAGTATGATAGCTTGGGCATCAGCAGCTAAATCAAATAGTAGGGGAGACATGGAATCTTCTTGCCTCACCCTTTATGTGTTTTAAAATACGGCCCTATCACATCATTTACCTTGACATACATGCCCTCCAACCATAGTGTGTATCATCAAGTCACATCATTGATCTCAAGAAAATTCTTTAGTTTCAACATCTTATATACAAATAGCCATTTTATCTTATCATAAGCTTTCTCAAAGTCTACCTTGAACAAGAGTGCACTTTGCTTTTTTTATGGTGAATAGTATTTAGGGCCTCATGTAACACCACCATTCCCTCCATAATATATATCCCCTTAATAAAGGGGGTTTGTTTGTGGGAGATGATGGGTTTGATCACCCTACTCAACCTGTTCATCAGCACTTTAGCAATGATTTTAAAACTAACATTAAGAAGGCATATTGGTCTAAATTTTTGTATCTGCTTAGCGTCTTGCACTTTTGGTATCAGGGTGATAATTCCATAATTAAGTCTTCTTATATCTAGATTTTCAGAATGAAAAATCATCCAATAGTTTCTTGAGACCCCATTTCACAAGATCACAGAAATGTTGATAGAAACCTTTGCTGCTGTTGTTGTTGTCGTCGTCGTTGTCATGGCAATGGTAACTTGTGTTGAGATGGTGCCGATGAATCTTCTGAGACAAGAGGGAGCAAATGGACCAATGGCGTCGTCGATGAATCTTCCGAGACAGGAGGGGGCGATGGGCCCAGGTCAGGTGTGCCTTGTGCTCACGTCCATGGTCGGGCTTGAAGTGCATCTATGCATTGGCACACCCTTCCTGCCCTGCAAACCTACTACTGGCTTTATGCTTGGCGTGACCGCCTCATGTAGGCCTGACCCAACAAGAAAACCAGTACGGGTCATGTCAACTAGGTATCGATCCTTCCCCGTTGGACGTACGTCGCGACCAACGTCGATTCCTTGTCCCCACAGTCACATGGCCAATTACGTGTGCATCACTAGGTCCTGGAAAAACCGGCCTATAAATCTATCTTGGCGCCTCGTCCCTACCCATCTCATTCTCATTGCCTGGACGCTGGATTAAACAGGTAGCTAGGCAACACCGGCGCGTACGGCAGCTTGTTGAAGCTTAGCTCGATCGCGTGTGTCCGTCCGTCCATGGCGCCGTCGGAGAGGATGCTGGAGTCGGCGGCGTACACGCGGATGAAGGCGGAGAACCCGTCCGAGTTCGTGCCGCGGAGCGTCTTCTTCGCGCGCGACGGCGGCAGCGGCATCGACCGCCGCAACAGCCTCTGGGTCAAGGCGGCGCTCGTCTACGAGTCCGTCACCGGCAGCCACGTCGACGACGGCGCCAAGCCCCTCGCCACCAGCCTCCTCCTCAGCCTCGCCCGCGAATGCCGCTTCCGCATCCACCCCGACGACGAACGGCCACCGGCGCCGCAGACCAAAGCCGCGGTGGTGACGGACGTCCTCAACAAAGTGTCGGGCGCCGTGGCCACGCCTATCGGTAAGCACGCACGCATACGCGTGGCACCATTAGTTTAGAGGAATGTGCACGTTTCTTTCCTGGCGTTAACCATGCATATGTACGCTCTGACTTTTAGCCGGCGCGGGCGGCGGAGAAGACGGATCAGAGGAGAAGCAGAGCAAGACGGCGGAGCTGCACGACGAAGAGAAAGAGTCGGACGACAAGCAGGTGATCGACGCCGTCTTCCTCGTCGTCGGCTTCCTCGCGAGGCTGGTCAAGGCCGCCGCGGGCGTCAGCCGCGACGCCGTCGACGAGGGGTTCAAGTCCACGCACATGCAGGACATCGTCACGGACATGATCAAGCTGGAGAACCAGCTCCCCCTCAAGCTCATCCTCGACGTCGTCGAGCACGTCCAGGACACGGCACGCCACGTCGCCGCCGAAGCCAGGTTCGAGGGGCTCCGCGAATTCCTCGAGGCGTACAAGCTCGGCTTCAGCCCAGCCACCTTCTTCGACGACGTCGTCAGGCCCTTCTGCTGGTACTACTCGCCCTTCTTCAACAAGCAGCTGCCGGCCGTGGACCGCGGCCTGTTCGACGGCAACCACGAGATCGCGCTCCTGGACTTCCTCCACGCCAGCGTGGTGCCGACGCCGCCGGACGCGGAGAAGGGGGCGGCCGCCGGCGGCAGGACGTCCCGTATGCCGACGGCCAGGGAGCTGAGCCGCTCCGGCGTGCGGATCGCGCCGGGGGAGGACGGCCGCGCGACGGTGGAGTTCGACGAGGCGTCCGCCAGGCTGCAGCTGCCGGCGCTGGTGTACGACTTCAAGCTGGCCACGGTGGCCAGGAACCTGCTGGCGCGGGAGTACGAGGAGCAGAACAAGCCCGTGACGCGCTACTTCCAGATGATGAACGAGCTCGTCGACGAGGCGGCCGACGCCAAGATCCTCCGCCGCGCCGGCGCCGTGCGCGGCGGTGGGGCGTCCGGCGCCGAGGTGCACGAGCTGGTCAAGCGGATCGACGGCTACGCGACGTACCCGTCCGTGTACATGGCCATGGACGTGCAGATCGCGAAGGTGAGGCGGTTCCACGACACGAGGATGCAGAACTTCCTCGTCCGCTACCGCCCCGGCGTCATCTGGGCGTCGTCGGTGGCCGCCGTCTCCTTGGTCGCCATTGTTGCCGCCAGAAGAAGGGGGTGAGAAAGCCAACGGCCCGTGCAAGACATATGTGCACTCATTAATTCATTGCTGATTGGAGATTGTACATAGTTGTACAACTTGAAGTGTAATGTTGTGTCTTGTGGTAATGTGTACCGGTGTACAATGTGTAAGTGCAAGCAAAGATGACTAGATGAGTCCATAAATAATCATAATGCTAATCATAATTAATTGCATGATAGTCCATGCAATTTGGCGCAAATTGTGCCAATCCCTGTAATTGTAATGTCCCGGATCATAGCTTCATTCATCACCAAGATACGGGTGAGATGAGTGTGTCTTCCAAGAGAATTTGTATGGGTAGAGTAGAAACTATGAAGAATGTGGATGGGGTAATCACACATGTAGCGAAGGAACACAGAGGAAGAGGAGGCGTACATGCAACAGAGGAGGGAGTCGGTTGGAGATGATGGCGCATCGGCGGCCTCCGTGGAGGAGGTCCGCCGGGCCAAATGAAAATCCTTGGATGGAACTGCCGTGGTATGCTCTCCCCCATGGCAGTTCGCGAGCTCTTGGAGATCCAAGGGCGTATCATGGCGGATTTGATTTTTCTCTCTGAGTCGCACTTTAATAAATGTTAAGCCGATGAGTTGCGTCGTTCTTTATCTTTTGATTCAATGATTGTAGCGGAGAGTGATGGCCGGGCCGGTGGCCTAGTTTTGTTCTATTATAAGTTGAATAAAGTGGTTTCGAACTATGAGTCGCCTAATTTTATTGATATTCTTTTTTTAAATGACGATTCCGTGCATTGGCGGTTCACGGGCTTTTATGGTCATCCGTTTTGGAGTGAGCATAGTTTATCCTGGGATAAGCTCCGAAACCTACATAGTAAGGGCAAGCACCCGTGGGTGGTTTTAGGTGATTTTAATGAAATTTTACTCTCGTCGGAAAAAGAAGGTGGCAATGCGAGACCGAATGCAATGATGAGAGATTTCCGCAATTGCTTAGGAGAGTGCGGCCTCGAGGATATGGGATGTATTGGTGATCCTTTCACTTGGAGGAGAGGCTAGACTAGAGAGAGACTTGACATGGCGGTTTGCAATGTGGAATGGGCGAATATATTCCCCCGGGGTGCGGTTATAAATGAGGAACATGTTCATTCCGATCATGGTCCCATCATCTTGGATACTGAATACTTTGACGCCAATATTTTTAATCCTCCAAAGGGACGAGTGAAACAATTTGAAGCTAGATGGCTTAAAGAGGAGACAGTCGTTGAGATTGTGCGTACAGCGTGGGAAAAGGCAAAGAAAATGGGTATTGGGCCTACGCTCACTGATCATACGCGAGTGGTACAGGAAGATTTGCAGAATTGGGATCGTGAGACTCTGAACGGACCGAAAAAGAGAATAGGTAAACTTAAAAAAGAAACGGAAAAGCTACGTAGGGGACCTATGAATGTGGATTCCCAAGCACGACAAAAGGAGATTATTGTTCTTATTGAAAATTTGTTGGAACAAGAGGAGATTTACTGGATTCAGCGTGGTCATGCAAATTGGCTATTACACGGGGACCGGAACACATCTTTTTTCCACAACGCGGCAACAACCAGAAAGAAAAGAAATCAGATAAAAAAATTGCTTGGAGATAATGGGGTGTGGGTGGAAGAGCCGGAGATGAAGGATTACATTAGAAGATATTTTTCAAACCTATTTATGTCAGAAGTCTCTCAACCAAACCCGGAGGTTCTATCTCTTGTAAAAAGGAAAGTCACGAATGCAATGAATACTGCTCTTACAACTCCATACACGGCGGGGGAAGTTTCAGAAGGCCTTATTCGATATTGGTGATTTAAAAGCACCGGGTCCGGATTGTCTGCACGCTATCTTTTATAAGAGGTTTTGGTCTATGTTGGGAGAAGATCTGACAGAAGAAGTCCTCAAGGCGGTGAATACATGTTCTATACCGGCAGGATGGAATGGCACTACAATTGTCATGATCCCAAAGGTTAATTCTCCGGAAAAGATTACTCAATTTAGACCAATCAATTTGTGCAATGTGGTGTACAAGGTTATTTCAAAAAAGATTGCTACGCGATTAAAGGTAATTCTTTCAGATATTATCAGCCCAACTCAAAGTACTTTTGTTCCTGGGAGATTGATCACAAATAGTATTTTAGTGGCATATGAGTGTTTTCATAAAATAAAAAAGAAAAGGGCAGGTAAAGAAGGGTTGTGTGCCATTAAACTGGACATGCATAAAGCTTATGACCGAGTGGAATGGTCTTTTTTAAGAGGAGTTCTATTGAAATTGGGTTTTAAAGAGAATTGGGTGAACTTAATCATGCAGTGTGTATCCTCGGTGGAATACAGAGTACGTTTTAATGCCGACGAGACTGATAGTTTCAAACCTACTAGAGGACTAAGGCAAGGGGATCCGCTCTCTCCCTATTTGTTTTTGTTGTGCACAGAGGGCCTCACTGCTCTTTTAGCAAACATGGAAGAAACGGGTAGTATTTCCGGCATAAAAAGTTAGCAGAGATGCCCCTTCTGTTTCCAACTTACTCTTTGCGGATGATTCATTGATCCTCATGCAAGCTAATGATACGAATGCGAAGGCTTTGAGAGAAGTTCTGGAATCTTATTGTACTGCCTCGGGTCAAATGGCGAGTGTTGAAAAGTCTAGCATATTTTTTAGCCTCAATACAAAAGTGGAAGAAAAGGTGCAAATTTGTACTACTCTGAATATTATGACTGAGGCACTCAATGACAAATATTTGGGTCTACCAGCCAATGTGGGGATGGACAAAAATGATTGCTTTCAGTTCCTGATTGACCGAATTATTATGAAAATTAGTGGATGGAAAGAAAAACTGTTGTCTGCCGGTGGAAAGGGAATTTTGCTAAAATCTGTTGTTCAAGCTATCCCAACTTATGCCATGTCCGTCTTTAAAATTCCTAAAAAAAATTGTAAAGGAATCATTGAGCGATGTCGCAATTTTGGTGGGGCAACGACGACAACCATAAAAGGATGCATTGGATGGCATGGTGGAAGATGTGTGTTCCCAAAGATCAAGGAGGGATGGGTTTTCGTGATATACACTGCTTTAATCTAGCATTGTTAGCTAAACAAGCTTGGCGTCTCCTGGATAATCCCAAATCGTTATGTGCCACAATCCTAAGAGCCAAGTATTTCCCAGAGGGTGATCTGATGAGCGCAAAATTAAAAAAGGGTTCCTTTACTTGGCAAAGTATTATGGCAGGAGTTGACTCTATCAGAAATGGTTATATATGGAGAGTTGGGACTGGGCAAAAAATTAATATTTGTACAGATGCTTGGATCCCAAATTGTGCGAATAGGAGAATTATTACTCCAAGACGAGGGATACTTCTGACAAAAGTGTCTGATCTTATTGGTCCAACCACAAATGGTTGGGATGAAGATTTGGTGAGACAAACACTATAGACAATTGATGCTCGAAGAGTCTTGGCGATCCCTCTCCTATGCATAATATGCAGGACTTCATTGCCTGGAGCTATACTAAAAAGGGTTTGTTCACTGTACGATCTGTTTATTTGGAGGAGTGGAATAAACAACATGGAAAGAAACTGGAATACACAAATGGAATGGGTAGAAGTAGGGTCAATCCTATTTGGGGTAAAATTTAGAAATTACCTTGTCCGGCGAAGGTGAATTTTTTTATCTGGCGTACATTGCATGGGACACTACCGTGTCGTATTACCTTGGCCAATAGACACACAAAAATTTCTCCCAATTGCCCAGCATGTTCAAATGGGCCAAAGGATACCAAGCATGTGTTGTTTCTGTGTCAGAAGGCAAAAGAAGTGTGGGAAAATTTGGGGATGTATGGAGCGGTTAAAAAAGCTTGTGAGGTTGATCGTGCAGGGGAGGCAGCCCTCGAATCATTACTCCTCATGCCACAACAAGAATTTTTTGTATCGGATTCACGGAACGCATGGGAGCTAATTACTGTAACCACGTGGTATTTATGGTGGAATAGACATAAACTGGTTCAGGAGGGAAAGTCACAAGGGGTATGTCAGACCTCGATGGGAATTTGTGCTATAACGGAAAATTTTGTAAATGCCCATTCCCCCAATGCAAATGGTAAGATTGGAGGGTGGAGTAGACCTCGTAGGTGCTTTGTTAAATTGAATGTGGATGCTGCCTTCGATCATGATCTACTAAAGGGCACAGCGGAGGCTGTTCTCAGGGATGACAAAGGAAACTTCATTGTAGGTGCAAATTGGAAGATTAATTGTTGCGCTGATGTCCTGACAGCGGAAGCATTAGCACTTAGGTTTGGCTTATTGCTAGCACAGAAGGAGGGTTGCAATCGTCTTGTTATCAACTCTGACAATATGGAAGTCATTGACACAATGAAGAATGGAGGACACTCTGCAGGAGCGGCAGCGGCAATTTTTGATGACTGTTTTTTTATAGCTTGTGATTTTCCTCTTACTAGTTTTGAACATTGTAATAGGGAAGCGAACAAGGTAGCGCATGAGTTGGCTCGACTAGCAAAATATTCCATAACGAGGGATTGGATTGAGGAGGCTATGTGAAATATTGTATCTCTACTTATAGATGGTGTAACCATTATTTCTAATTAATAAAGTGGTGATGTTTTTCAAAAAAAAAGATACATGCGGGATTTGAGGATGGGAAATGGAGTCCAGATGAGGATGAGAGAACAGAGAAACGCAGAGAGAGTTTCAGAGACTTATCAATGCATACCCCTCCTACATGACACGTCCAGCTCTTATACACAAGAGGTAAGAGCATGGTTAATAGGATAACCAACAACGAGCTATATGAAGTAGCCATGTCACATATCTCTCCCTAATAATAAATTACGGATTGGGTCTCTGGGTTCACCGTCACAATACGCTTTCTTCTCATGCCATAATACACTTTTACGATTTGTATAGACGGAATCGTAATATAAACGAGGTGGTACTAATTCGTCCGTCCTTAAGGTGGTACTAATTCGTCCGTCCTTCTTTTGCTCCGCTTCATAC